TTATTTTAAGAATTTTAAAAATTATATAAAAATACGGTATAATGCGTTTCGAATGATTTATTCAAACAACATTTTTAAGTACTCGGAATGTCTTGATATAGAGCATTCCAATTAGAATTAGATTGTTTATCATCGGTGGTATAAAATTCTGTCGACCAACAATATCTTCTGTACATTAGGCTCCGCGAAGTAAAGAGTTTGGCTGTGAGTCCCTCTTATAATTCAAGTTCCAGCGTTCTGGGTAAAAGGGGTAATTTTAGTTAGTCCCTGAGCCTAAAATATTTCAATTTGTCCATTCACGAGAAACATTTAAAAAATGGAATTTTCTCAGTAGTTTGGAGTTCATATTAATGAAACTGCAAGCGATTTTAAAGATAGCGTCTGTGATATTTGCTTGCTTATAGCTCTCATAAATCAAAAATAAGTATATTGCACGTTTTTAGATATTTAATCATTTATTATTCATTATGTCTGATAAACTCAATGATCAATTGGAGCATGGTAGCATAGACGGAATATGTCACCAAATTTGTATTTTTTAGGTAATATAAAACTACGCATTTACATTTTTTATGTAATTATATTTTTAAAACGTATTTCCTTACAAAAATAATTTCAAATCAGCGGTGTTTGAAATTAAAAAAAAATTGTACAAAAAAGTAAAAACAATAATGAATCAGAGCTAAATCGTTTAGGAGAAAGGTAAAGAGTTACCATTTTTTATTGACACCAATAGGGCTTAATTAATTTTTTTAATAATTGTAAAGATAGAAAATAAACAAACATTGTTCTGAAAAGCATAATTAATGGAGAAATGGCACTAATTAGTTTAGAAGAGAAGCAAATGCCCACCATACTATTTTTGGCTCTAATAATGCTTAATTAATTTTGGTAATAGATTCTGAAACAGAAATTAAAAAAAAAAAAACTATGCCCTAAATCGGGAAATTAATGGAGAAATGCTACTAATTTGCTTATGAGAGATGTAAAAATGTCTCCCTACTGTTATGAAGCTATTAAAGGTCAATTAATTGTGATAATAAAAAAAAACTATGCACTAAATAGAAAAATTAATGGAGAAATGCTACTAATTCGTTTAGGAGAAATGTAAAAAAATCACCATATTATTATGAGGCTAATGATGCACAATTAAGTATGGTTTAATAATTATTAATTTTGATAATAGGTACAAATTAAAATGAAATTATCAGCTATGTACTAAAAAGCAAAATTAATGGGAAAATGGTTCGAATTCGTCGAGAAGGAAATAATAAATTACCATACTTTTATTGACTTTAATGGAGCTTTATTAATTTTAGAAAAATACACTTTTAGTATTAGGATAATTAGTGCGATTTTAATCAATACCAAATATACTAAAGTAGGTGAAATTAGTTTATTTGGCACCTATGAAAACTGTGTTAATACTGTGCAATTTTTAATATAGATCATGAGGAAAGAGGTGTCTTATGGAAAGTGATAAATGCCAGCGAAAATCGCTTAATTGTGGTAAATTTTGACTATCACAAGTTAGTCTCGAGTAATGATATCATTCTCAAAAGGTGCTGAATACAGTAAATCGTTATTTTTATTGGATGAACTATTAAATACGCGCCTCGCTTAATCTCATACCGTAAACCTACCAGCAAGAACAAAAACTAATAATAAATAAATAAAAAATTACTGTAGTCTAGGTAACACATGTACCCTATTCTTTTGAATACTTCATTTATCCTGACATTAATATATAAGTATATCCCTCCTCCGTCATAACCCTTCGAGATCAATATCTTAAAATCATATTTATGCAGTGTAATGTGCGCTCTCTTAAAAGGCAGACATCGTCTAATATTTACTTTACTATCTACTTATTTATTGTATCATTACTATTTATGCAATCTTTGTAAATATTTGAATCGAAGTTGGATTGAATAATTTCTTAACATTAAAATATTGTCAGACAAGCATAAAATCAACGCATACATGAAAATTAAATATTTATATTCGAATTTATTTGTTTTAATGAGTACTTTGTGGGATGTTTTACGATTCAATTTTAACGATAAATCTGCTATCTAATTAATTTTTGTATATAATAATATCTAAGCTCTATAAAGACAGCAGCTTGGCCTTTCCTATTTAATTAATATTTCTAATGATGAATGATTATGGCTCTAACACGATAGAAATATATTTAACCATAAACTGAATCCGTGAAAAAAAACACATAATTGCATTTAAAGACTTATAAAAGTATTTTAACTAAATTTGCAAATCATGTGTAATTCACGATTCAAATTTATTATATTTCATTCATTTTTAATGAAGCCCTGTGAAAAATAGTGAAAATGAAAATAAGCACCATGTTTATCAAGCAGAGTGTTGGAATTATTAAAGCAAATTTCAAATAAAAAATTCTATTTTTTTGTTCCTGGTATTTCGGAAAGTATCAGAGATGTGAAAAATTATTTATAGAAAATGGAAGTTGGTAGAAGTATACAGTTTAATGCGTTCTAATTAGAATATGAAAAATTTATTCTTATCAAGTTTCAAAATTAAATTTGAAAGTTCGAAGAAATGAAGCCGCTGACAGGAAAAGAGTAGCAGAAAAAAAATTCTTTTCTTTGCAGCTCATATCGTTTTGTATGAAAAATATTTACTCACGTGTCTAATTTTGCCTCCCCCCCTTTTTTTTTTCTTCTGTTTTTAAGCAGCATGCAGCAAAGCGTACAACTCTATCTATTTTTGTTTTAATTAAATTGAGTTTTTAAATCTTCGCTACTTTTATTATCTTGAAAACATTCTATTATTTAAAAGGTATTTTAAGGAAGCGTGTAACATAAAACTTTTTTTAAAATCAACCCTCTTTAAACTGGAATAAAATCATCAACAATTCGTTTAACGTGTAAAATTTTTAAATATGCGTTTGAATAAATTTGTATGAGTTATTCAAATGGTAAATTAATCCGATTAAAAAGTAATATATTTATTTTTTCTTTTAATTTACAAAGTAAATGATTTAGTGCTGTAATAAAAACAACTTAATTTAGACATGAATCCACAAAACTAATTGAAAATAAAATGCCCTGGATGTTAAAAAGAGGGTTAAAACTATGCGAAAGCACCATTTTTGTGTTTATTTAAATTATATATGTATAAATATTTCAAATATTATGTAAACAAATTGTTGAAATTTTAAATAGAATAATATTTGTTTTTGAAGTAAAATTTTGTTAGTAGCAAGATGATTGGAATTAATCATAGCGTGTGAGGAAAGAAATATTTCTAATTATTTTACGAATAAACAACGTTCACAATAACTCATGGAAAGCTTTCCATCGTTCTCCCATTTCAATTTTAAAAATCAATTAAAAAATGTGTTCATTTCAGATCTGTTTTTGACAGTAAGAGATGGATTATTTCTTTATAAACTGATGGAAATCAAAATGAGTTTTCTGCAAATGTTCTATCTAAAATCTTATTGCTGTTTTATTATTATTATGTAAAAGAAATATTTTTCGCTTTTTCTAATTGTTTTTATCTTTAAATATTCAGGCATCCAAAAGATTTTCAATTCGTTTTATATACTTCCCCTTTAGTTTACGAAAACTCAGTACTTAAATTGATTTTTTTTTGCTTCCTGACACACAAGATTTGTGTTAATAATGGAATTTTTTAATTATCAAGGGGATTCCCCGCACAACTCCTTGAACTGTTTATGCAGTTTTTTCTTCTTTACAATACATAGCAATTTCTAATCTCGCTAGGGTCGTTCTTCTTAAGAGCTTCTGTCATTGATACTGACGACTTTGCATGCATCGCGAAAAAAATATTTTTATTTAATATTACATCATAAAATTGATTTTACGATATGAACCAATTAATGAAACATAATTTAACAAGGAATACATGAGGAAATAATGTTAATTGTATAACGCATATTTAATCGTTAATACTATGATTTCCAAAACTGTACTTGAAATGACTTAACTAAAAAAATATTTAAAAATATGGCTCTTTGCCCTGCTCACTCACTCAATGCTTGCACAGTTTATATTGAAACGCTTCGCCTGCTGTTTAATGCGCTTGGTCTTGTTTAATACTCTAGATTCTCTTCTCTAATGTGTTTTTAACTTAATATTCATTATATAAGAGCTCCTTGCTCACTGTCACTCATCAACGCAAAGACATGTTTTCTCAGTTCTTTTTGGAACAATTCACAATCTAGAATTGATAATCGATAAAGCGGTAACACTTCAAAGCATTGGAAGGAATTCATATTCGTTTGTAAATAAGCGTAATTTTACAATTTAATTGCTTCATAATTAATTTGGGCAAACTGTGTGAAACGTATTGTTTATCTCCAGAAGTAAGTTTACTTGGCAGAAAAAAAAATTATAATTCTTCTGTTAAACTGAATTACTTAGTTTTCGCTAAACTGAATTAGTCAAAAACTTATGTTCTTTAACTAAAATTATTTTTAATGCTTTACCCCTTGCTGCTGTTGTTTGCCAACCTTCGATACTATTGCAAATTTCTTACGTTAAAAATGCTTAAAATGATTTTTTTATGTAAAAAAATGTTCAATTGTTAAAAAATTCAAAATAAAATTATAGTTACATATATAGAGATATTATTGAGAGATTAATACAAAGAGATAAATTTACTTTTTGATAAAAGTAACCTCATTTTTTTTTTCAATTTTTAGTTAAATTATTTATCTAAAATGCATGATGTATTTTTAAGAAAAAAATATATATTTTATTTTCGCTTGTTATACTTCTTTTAGTCCTTTTCATGTAATGATGAGGGCGAATGTTTCAATTTTACACAACATTTGCTCAATTTAATAACAGAGAAAACGTTACTGTCTACGTTAAAGGGTTAAATTAGTGTCTAATAATTATTTTATGCAAAGTATAACCTGTTTCTTCTATTATATTATGCAATCGATTTTCTTTTCTTTTTTTTCATTTATCTTTTCTTTTAAATAATTCTAGCATTCCGAAGACTTCAATGTTCACCACTTAGATGTCCTGTTGGATGCCACACAGATTATACTATACAACCATGTCCTCGATGTGCATGTGACACAGACACTTCTGGTAATTGCATTCTCCGAATAATTTATCTGTATAATGTAATTAAGATGTTCAGTGCGCAAAAAAAAAATGGTCTACCCTGTATAACTTTTGATCTAATGACCGGATCTTCACTTTCTGGGACTCAATCTTCATGGTTTGAAGCGGTGACCTCAAATATGCTAATTAACTAATGCAGACAATATTTTAAGTCACGAAATCAGACACAAAAACGTACTTTCCCCCTTTTTCTTAACGGATACGGACTTCTGACCCCCAAAATAGGGGTAGCCGTAACCCGGGAAATAGGGTCCTAGTAGTTTGGTCTGGAGAGCGATTCAAAGTTGGCAACCCATTGATGTTAATTTTACTTTTTGGGTATTTCCCGATATCTCAAGAACTTTTCAAACGTGTTAAAAAAATCACACAGTTAAAAAATTAGTTTTTCTAAGGAAAATTCGATAAAATTCTAGAAAAAAAAGCTTGAATTGTAAGGTCTAAAATTTTTACGTCATATTAAAGTACGTATGTTTGCATGGCAAAATACAAAATTTGGGGGAAATCGGCAGAATACTTCCTGATAAATCGAATTTTAAATGTTCGACTTCTTTAAAATTCGATTTCTCAGGTACTATTCTGCCGATTTCCCCCAAATTTTGTATTTTACTACTTAAAATTGCACACTTTACGATGAGGTAAAAATTGCATAACTTGGAATTTAAAATTTTTTCGACTATTTTTAAATAACATAATAATAAATATTTACTAGAAGTTATTTTTTATTTGGCCTGATCCTTGAAAAGACAAATTTTTATAATTATGTGCAAAAACGTTCTCGAGATATGACGAAATACGCAAAAAGTAAAATTGACATTAAGGGGTCCAAACTTCGGATCGCTCTCCTGAACAAATAGTACCATACTTTTCAGAATGCGTCTACCCCCTAAATTTTGGTAATAAGAATTCCAAATCCTTTGAAAACAAGGATGGGAAGTTCGTTTGGTGTCTTATTTTGTAACTTTTAATATTGTCTTCACTAATTCATTAGTATATTCAAGGTTTCCCTCTTGAACCATTAAGTTTGAGTCCTAGAGCGTGAAAATCCTATCATTAGGATCAAAAGTTATTCATTGTGGTCTGTTTCTATGACGTCTTGTACCTCTACAGTGAGGACTCATATTTACTCACTATCTATATCATTCAAATAATGCAAAAAAAGTTTCATTATTTTTCAAGGAAGACAATTGAAAGCAACCAGTCATTTTAGATAGAAATTACAATCAGACACAACGTCCTGATATAGCTTGAGAAATTCTTCATGCTTTTAATGCATCAATTTTATGCCAAAAAAATTTTTTGATGTGTTATTATTGTTGAAGTTTGCAGGCTGAACATCAATAGATAAAATCGGTCATTTTAGAATTGCAATAAAGGAAGTAAATTTGAGCATTAACAAACGATTCTCAATGGAATTTATTGCAGCATGAAGAATGGAAATAAATTTCCAGAATGATTATGAGTGAAATTGAAACTTTCCATAAGTGCCTTAACAACTTAAATATTGCATCAATCGTTATTTAAATTAAGGAATTTCATTTGATTATAAGACACTGGGTTCAGCTTTAATAGAGAAGGGAAAAATTGCTTACTGAACCAAAGTAAAACATAGACAAAGTTCATTGCTGCCAAATTTTGCTATTGGTTGAGAAAATAATTAAAAAACGATAATAATGTAGGAATAAAAATAACGGTAACATTTCTAAGGTGCAACTCTCAATTTCGTTATTATCATTGAAAAGTTTATTTCTTATTAGTTCAAAAAATTAAGCTAAATTCTCCGTCCTTATTACATATGCATAACGTTTAGAAACTATCGTAGAAAATAAAGAAATATGCACATTATATGACGCTAATTAATGTATAACAGAGGAAATAACAAAACGTTTATCATATATGACAAAGAGTAAAAAGCGATTGAAAACCAGTTTAATTGTAGAGGGTAAATTAAAAGAGGGTAAATTAAAAGAGGTGAAAGGCGGTGAGGTGATGGAAAATTTTACCAGTCCCCCCCCCCCTTCCTGTAGTGTTTTGATGTTTTTCATCCTGCTTTTATCGTTACTTCTTCATACATTTATGATAACGGTTTTTGTTTTGATGTGAGTTTTTTTCAATCAGTTTTGTTCAGAACTTAAAAACACGTTTTGTCAAAATTGTGTCAATTAAATCCTTCTCGCTCCCGTGATATTGACGGGCTGGAGTGTTCAGTAGTAACGCGGCCAATAAGAATAAAACTAATTGATTTCTTTTGCCCGGAAAACATTTTATTCTCATTTTATTTCACACACCTGATGGCAGTACCTCGATATTTTTAAGGTAATTGTAGATAGTTAGTTTATTTTAAACTAGTTGCAGCACTAATCAAATACGTAATACAAATACAAAAACAAAAAAAATAGGCACTTTTATGACCGTTTTCTTGAAAATTAACCGATCGTTAAGGGGTTAAGCTTTGAAAATGCTTTATTGGGTTGAACATCATCCATTTGTTCAGACAAATTCAAAATTTTCGTAACTTAAGATCCCTTATAACATTTTATTAGCTTCGGGTTTTATTTCATTTTCGCATTTAAAAGATATAACACAGTTCTTTTTGCATTGTTATAGAAAACTTAAATTTTCCTCGTTTATGTATCTTAAATTTAAATATTAAGTAACTCGTTTATATATTTAATTATATATTTTTATTTTGTAGACTTACAGGCCGAACTATAACAATAATCGTTGCATACGTAGAGTTTGAACACAATCAATGATTGAAATAAGATATCAAGAAGGTTTTATTTTGATAAAAAATTACCAGATAAGATATTAAATATGTTTTCAGTCATTCGATCTAGTAAAAAGGGAATTTTATTACAGCTTCTTTATCTTGCATATTTTTGATATGAACAGTCTTTTTCTGAAGGAATAACTTTATTTTAAATCAATTTTATATGAATGGGGAAAATTCTGTACTACTTGTTTGTATTCGCAAACATTTGTTTTTCTTTTGTTGTGCTAAGATCATATTTTTCAGGTATGTATTTATGAAAGATGTTGCTTGCTAAAAAAATTTAATCTTTATTATTCTAATGTGGTATCGTAAATAAATAATTTCATGAATAGTATTTTTAGAAGGTATTATAAATAACTTTATTTGAACTTTTTTACTCTACATGAGAAAGACTCTTGACCTATTTGTGTGTTTAATAAACATTTTTGTTTTCACTTATTTCATATTTGCTAAGTGTACTCACATATTATCAAATAATGCAGTAATATCGCATTGTAAATAATTGTTAAAGTCTGTTTTAATATGTTATCTCTACATTTATCTGAAATTGTTTTTGTATGAATGGGAAAATTCTATATCTGTTTGTGCTTACATTGTTAAGCATTTGTTTTCCTTATAAAGCAATAACACCCCCAAAAAAATAATGGGCGTAATAATTTGAGGAATGTTATCCTTTAAAAAGAGTCGTGAAAGTAATAAATAATTATTTTTTAAAGTTAATAAATGCAAAATAAGTACATAAAGTGTGAAATATGCATCTAAAATGCCTACAATACCATTTTTGATCAATAGCATACTTCTAGATAAATGGCACATACTTTAAAAACAACATATAATTAATACAACCATTAAATTATTTTAAGTTACTCATGAACTTAAATTTACCCCCTTAGTTAGTTGTTCTCGAGAATTAGCCTTCCAGTTCATATTTATGGAAAATTGTTAAGTTTAATTAAATACTGTCTTTCTTTCACCACCAGTTCAGTCACCTTTGACATCCTCTTTGCATTATGGTGTTATGGAATTTAAATAGTTCATTAAAGACAATTATACTCGATTCTAAATTTTATAATATTGAGCTAATCCCCGCAAATTCTAAAAAAATTGAAAGGAAATTAACCGGAAATTAAATTCCGTTTCTGAAATGCACTTGACAGAGCCGGAATTCACATAAAAGTTGAAAACTGAATTTCAGAGTTCAAGAAACCGATTTAAATAAGTAAAAAATATTTAGTCACTTGTTTTTTTTCTCTCGAGGAAATGAAGATAATAAATGTATGAATCATAAAATTCTTTAATTGGGTATAATATGAAAAAAACACAACTACTTCGATTTAGTAGGAACAACATATGACGCAATGCTAAACGAATGGAATTTAGTTGTTGTTTATTTAGTTATTGTTATTAGTAGTTGTTGTTATTTGTTTTAGTTGTTGTTGTT